TGGGTATGTGTGCACATAAGTGTGCTCTACTGTCAGTGTGACAATGGCCTGTTTTTACTGTGGATTAAAAATGGGGAATAATAGCCCAGTGGTTAAGAACATCAACTCCAGAGTCAGATTTACTGAAGTTGATTTAATGTACTCCTCAGCCTGTTTCCCCATCTTAAAATGTGCACAGCTATTGTAAGGAATGTTGAGATAGTGTATGCAACGACTTGGCCAGTGGCCGGCTTGCCCCATGCTCTGCGGTGCTGACTGATCTGCACACCTCACCAGGTCGTCAGGTGTCTCAGAAGAGGCAAAGCAGCTGCCAAGGGACTTTGAAAAGAATTTTATTGATTTAAGACCTTATTTAAACTTAAAATTGTTTTAACCCTATGTGAGACTGGATATAGACCTTTCAGAGCATCAGCTATGTGTTAGGACAGGTACTTAATTTGGCTTCTCCATTTGTAAATTATTGTGTGAATGTGGTTCGTTCTATTCCATAATACACTTAGGAGTTTATTTGTTATTAATGGAACCAGGCCTTTGTAATTGCGCAAACCTTCATTGCTTGGCTCAAAAGGTGGAGGGAAGCGCTAAATCCTGCTTGGTACCTTCCTACATGTGAAAGGGATTTTAAATATCACCAAGTGTACAGTTAAGCTGGGCTAGTAGTTGACCTTGTTAGCTGGAGGGGGAAGGAATTATCTTTGGTGTCACATCAGTATGATGTGAGCCAAATCAACAAATACTGGCTTGTGGTCTGTAATAAGTTAAGTGACTAGAAATGCTGTGTATTCCTCGCCAGCACTCATTTATGTTAATTATGTATGGTTTATTTTAATTGTAAAATATATTCTACTTTTAAAACGTGAGTTTGGGAATTCCAGGATAATCTTTTTGTTTTACAAGGCTTCAGAAGACTTTTTGTCATTGAGTCTCCTTTTCCTAATTTGTTTATCACATATACATGTCTTTTTTCTAAAGTAAATTTTTTTCTTTTGTTACATTACCTCCTACCTCTCATCTTATTTCTTCTAGGGTGTAATCAACTTGTCAGGTTTATTTGAAATTTTCACATGGCTCTTCATTACAATAATGCCTGCCTTGGCTTCTAGTTATATTCCTTTACGGTGATAATCTTTTTTTTTTTTTTTTTTTTTTTTTCTGGGACAGAGTCTCACCCTGTTGCCCTGAGTAGAGTGCAGTGGCATCAAGCCTAGCTCACAGCAACCTCAAACTCCTGAGCTCAAGAGATCCTCCCACCTTGGCCTCCCAGAGTGGTAGGATCATAGGTGTGAGCTACCGCACCCTGCCTACAGTGGCATTCTTGATTTGCTTCTTTCAAAGCTCACTTAAAAGTATAGGAGATTATGTATAGAACCTATTGTAAAAATTATGCAACTCATTTAAGGATAATTTATTACTTTTTCCTCTCATTCTGTCATATAATTGTAGGAAATTCAGTTCTTAGATGGAGTGCTAATAAACTTTTCTCTTGACATATGTTGGTTATTCCTTTGTTCGTTAGCATATTTATTTTATTGTAATGTGTCTGGCAACATTTAATTGTGTTGCTATACTATAAAAGAGTAAACAGTAGAAAGGGAAGTAACAAATTTTTCTTCTGAGGGTTCTATGGCAGGGAAAAATAGCTTTAAGATGGACTTTTGAACTGGGATGTAATTATAATTTAAATTTGTTCCAGAGTGTGTGTGTTATTTTATGTGTGTGATTCTCTTAATATATAAACTAAAAATTTAATTTAAAAAAGATTTTTACAAGTGAAAATTTGGTTTTCTGAAACCACATGTGTTCATTTTTAGGCAGTTGGGAAAGGTAACTTTTTATTAGTAGATAAGTTAATATTGATGAACTTCATAAACTTTCTCTCTGAATTATACCTTCAGCTAATGTAAGCATGAATTAAATCCTCAAGTGTTTTGCCAAGGTGGCACTAAGGAAAGGATTCCTCCTCTTCAAATAAACCAAATCCCTGTAAACTTATCTAACCTTTGTATAAATGTAGCACTTTGCTTAGTCGTAGCCTGAAATGTTAGTTTTGTTCCCACCACTTCCGGCTGTACCCTTCCTCATTTCCCCCTGGCATGTTTCATTTGTAAAGCTGGCTGAGCCTGTTTGTGCTGTTGTGGCTGCCTCAAGGGCAGAATGAGTAAGTTGCATGACGAGCCATAAACCAAGAGGCACCGACTCATCTTTCCTTCTCTCAAGATCAGACGTGCAGCAAATAATCCAATATATAATTATATAATTGATAGGGGAAAGAATTGGTACTAAAACTTTTTTCTTACTCCCCTTTGCTATTGTTTAATTCTGATAAGGGTTATGGATTGAAGGAACCTTCCTAAGAAGGGTGTGTGTGTGGGGGTGTGTGTGTGGGGGGGGTGTGTGTAAGGAGGTGGTTTGGGCATGCATGAGGTTGGGTGACTTTTAAAAGTTAACAGGTTAGAGCTGCTGATCTTCTTGGTGTGTGATCACTTGAAGGGAAAACATGTTAGTACGTGTTATGTGAAACCAAGGTAGCCAAATGTCAAGAACGTATTCTTAATTAAAAAATAGAATTCAGTAAAATGATTAAGTTATGAATCTTTTTTTTTTTTTTTTTTTTTTTTACCCAGACAAGATACTTCACATTTTTATTTTTGATCTCCATCTTCTTCACTTGGCTTTTATCTATGAATTTAAAAAGCTTCTCAGGAAGTATTGCTGAAAACAAAACAAAGTAAGGTTTCTTATCTTGGTATGGGGAATTGTGTACATAGTCAGATCAGAGCTGCGTTATCATTCCAGCTCCATTATCTATCAGCCAGGTGACTGGGTGAGTTACAGAACATCCCAAAATCCTAGTTTCTTAATCTGTTTGCTGTTACTATTATCTACCTGGCAGGTTTATTGTGAAAATTGGAAGAAACAAATGGTGGTTGGTACAAAATAGTGTTTAATGAATGACAACATTTAAGTAAATAGATTCTTAGAAGCTATAGGGACGGTGACAGGTAGAGGCTGACACCCAGGAAATGTTAGTCCAGGTGACAACAGTAATATAGGAATAGTGTCTAATGGACTCTTAAATTGAAGGTTGTGGCCTGGATCAGTTAGGAAGTTTTTGGTGCTGGATGGGAGCTACTCATGGCCTGATTTGGTTAGGGGATTAAGAAGCTAAGGGTGCTTTCTCTGTTAGGGTGTGTTACCTGAGCAAAGGTGAGAAGGCCAGATATTTGTCATTTATAAAAGAGAGAACAGAGTAATTTGAATGGAGTATACTTGTATAGTCCTAGTCTGCCAACCTTGATTTTCTCTGTGTTCTGTTTTGGGATGGAAAGTTAGGGTGTGGCAAACATTTCTGTGTGTTTGGCCATCTTTTGTCAATCTTCATTCTTCCAGGTCAGAGGTCAAAAAGATTTTTCTGTAAAGGGCCAGATAGTTAATATTTTAGGTTTTGCAGGCTACATATGGTCTCTGCTTATATAGATAAGCCTTGTTTTATTGCATTTCACAGATATTATAATTTTTTCGTTGTTTTTTTTTTTTTTAAACACAAATTGAAGATTTGTGGCAACCCCGCGTCAAGTCTGTCCGTACCATTTTTCAATAATGTTCTCATTTCATGTGTGGCACATTTTGGTAATTCTCACAATATTTCAAACTTTTTCATTATATCGTGATCTTTGATGTTACCATTATAATTGCTTTAGAGCATCACAGATATACCCATATAACATGTCAAACTTAATTGATCAATGTTATGTTTGTTTTGACTGTTCCACTGACTGGCCATTCCCTGTCTGTCTCCCTCTCCTCAGACCTTTTATTCCCTGAAAACAACAATATTGAAATTAGGCCAATAAATAACCCTATAATGCCTCTAAGTGTTCAAGTGAAAGGAATACTCACATCTCTCACTTTCGATCAAAAGCTAGAATGATTAAGCTTAGTGTGAGGAAGGCATGCTGAAAGCCAAGATAGGTCCAAAGTTAGGCCTGTTGCACCAAATAGCCAAGTTGTGAATGTGAAAGAAAAGGTCTTGAAAGAAATTAAAAGTGCTATTCCAGTGAACACATGAATGATAAGAAAGCAAAACAGCCTTATTGCTGATAGGGAGAAAGTTTTAGTGATCTGGATAGAGGATCAAACCAGCCACAACATTCCTTTAAGCAAAAGTTTAATCCAGAGCAAGGCCCTAACTCTCTTCCAATTCTATGAAGGTTGAGAGAGGTGAGGTTAGTATCAACATTAACAGGAATTTGGAAGAATTTGATTCTGACCCTCATGGATGACTTTGAGGGGTTTAAGACTTAAGTGGAGGAAGAAACTACAGATGTGGTACAAATAGCGAGAGAACTAGAATTAGACGGGGAGTCTGAAGATGTGACTGAATTGCTGCGATGTCATGTATTATAAAAGCGGCATCATGGAAATAGTGTCATCAGTAATCCAAGGTGTCTATTTTGAACATTAGGCCAAAAAAAGTCATTTAATACTTCATGGTCTTGACAATGTAACTATATCTTTTTTTTTTTTTATTTCAGCATATTATGAGGGTACAGATGTTTAGGTTACGTATGTTGCCCTTGCCCCCCACCCCCGACAATGTAACTATAGATATAGTTAGTTAAAGATTTAAGTCAGTGTGGGAATTTACTTGTGTGTGTTGTATGGATAGGATGAAGGATTTTAATTAACTTGTTGCTTACTTTATGGTTTGTAACTTAGCGAAAGTGTTCCATATTCATGCATTTGCTACAACGTAATAAACTTTATTCCTGGTGATAGCTCAGGACAGGATTGATTTGGCTGTTTTACCCTAAGAGGGCAGTTGGAGCCTTCAGTAAGTGTGGGTTGAGTCCTGACTGATGGAAGGCAGCCATTCTGAGATTTCCAAGGAATTGTCAATCTAGATGCATTTTTACCTGGCTTCTTGGCTTTGTATGCATTTAGTTTAAAAGTAACCTTATTTTATCTCTCCAAAATGTTTCCTTAACTTAATCTAACAGGTTTAAACTTGGAGAAGGATAGCTCGGTCTCCCGCTATGGAGCCTCTCAAGTTGAAGATATGGGGAATATAATTTTAGCAATGATTTCAGAGCCTTACAGTAAGTACCACTGTTTTAACAACGTGGTCCTAGAATTTGCTCCCACCATCTTTCCTTCAACTATACTTTTGAATTTCCTCCCACAGCTTTGTCTTTCTAATAGCTAAAGTGATGACTTCTATGTTTCATTTTTAGATCACAGGTTTTCAGATCCAGAGAGAGTAAATTACAAATTTGAAAGTGGCACTTGGTAAGTACTTGAGTACTATTCATTTGAACTTTTTGATCTTTTGTTGTTGTTGTTGTTTACATTGTGATGTTTAACTCCCCTTGTGTTTTAGTAACTTTACTACACCTTTTGGCTATCATTTCTTACTGTTAGGTCATCTATAAAAGAATGTTTTATTATTGAAAGTAAGCTTGGATATAGGGATTAAAATTTAATAAAGTATAGGTATCCTCAGTCATTCTGTGATCTATGACCTTAGGTACATTATATGTTGGGATCTGTTACTGTTATTTCAGTCTCTTTAAAACTGTCCATCTGGCCGGCCATAGTAGCTCATGCCTGTAATTCCAGCACTTTGGGAGGCTGAGGCAGGAGGATTGCTTGAGGCCAGGAGTTCCAGACCCGCCTGGGCGACATAGAAAGACTGCATCTCTACAGTAAAAATAAATTAGCCAGGCATGGTGAAACATGCCTATAGTCCTAGCTACTTGGGAGGCTGAGACAGGAGGATCACTTGAGCTCAGAAGTTTGAGGTTACAGTGAGCTGTGATTATGCCACTGTGTTCCAGCCTGGGTGACAGAGCAAGACCCTGTTAAACAACAACAGCAACAATAAAAAAAAACAAAACCCATCCATCCTCTCACTTGGAAAACTTCCAAAGGAAAAATCATAGGCTTTAATAGAGTTCACAACTTTTACTGAGATAATTTTAAGTACGTTCTATCAGTTTTTACTTTGAAGCAAAGCAAATAACTGGGAAGGAGTATGAAGTGGTGGTCTCTCTGTGACCACAGGTAGACCTGTTTAAGTTTGTAAATCACTGTAGTGAATTTTGTGAGATTGTCTGATGCCTGAAGTGAATAGAAACTTCTGACAGCTTTAGAAGTTAGAGAGACCTTTGAGGCCTGTTTAATTGTGGAAAAAGCGACTCATTAGGAAAATGTCCTAGGAGTACTGGAAATGTGAACATGGGAGGGATAGAACGTCCAAAGGTGTCAAAATATATAATAGGTGATTTGCACATGACTCATTAAGGTGTGGGGACTCCTAAGCATTTCCACAAACACTCTTGGTGCTGGCTCCCCTCTTTGCTCTCTGGTTTTGCATTCGAGCTAGTTTGGTGGCAGACTTCTGACCATGTGCACAGATTCCTGACGTTGGTTAATTGCCAGCTTTATTCTGATCCTAAATTCTGCTGACAAACTGGATTTAAACCACACTTGTGTACTGGCTAGATCTGAGAGTGAATTTAAACTTGTCCTTGGTCTAGGAACTTTCAGGCCACAAGGGTATTGGGAGAACCTTGCTTCCTTTGAATTATTCTTGAGTCTTTTGGAGTTTATGGCAAGCAAGCAGCTCCTCAGCTGATTGTTTACTGAGTGAGCTAGCTGTGTCGGAACTGCATAGGCAGCCATCTTTCTATAGTGAACCACATAAAAAACACTCTGAACTATACCTAGATAATTTTTGAGGTTATAAAAAAAATCAAGGCTAGGGGAGGTGGCTCATGTCTATAATCCTAGCACTCTGGGAAGCTGAGGCAGGAGGATTGCTTGAGCTCAGGAGTTCAAGACCAGCCTGAGCAAGAGTGAGACCCCATCTCTACTAAATAGAAAAATCCAGCCAGGTGTCATGGCGCACACCTATAGTCTAGCTACTCGGGAGGCTGAGGCAGGAGGATCGCTTGAGCCCAGGAGTTTGAGGTTGCTGTGAGCTAGGCTGATGGCACAGCACTCTAGCCCAGGTGACAGAGTGAGATTTTGTCTCAAAGGGGGGGTGGGAACAGAACCCTTTTCCTCACTCCCCCCTTTAATAAAAAAAAAAAAAAGAAAATCAAGTAATATTGCAAGTTGGTCTGAACTCAAGTAACACCCCATGTACAACTAGGTAAATTGTCTTGCAGAGGGTAATAGGTGTCAGTCTTGCTAGCATTAATCATGAAACCTGAAGTTTTGCTTTGTCCACAGCAGCAAAATGGAACTTATTGATGATAACACTGTAGTCAGGGCACGAGGTTTACCATGGCAGTCTTCAGATCAAGATATTGCAAGATTCTTCAAAGGACTCAATATTGCCAAGTTGGTTTTCTTTAATCTCTATTTAAATTTACGACTCCTAAAGGGATAATGAGTTTCCTATTTTTTCCTCACTGTATTTTTTTTTCTACCTGCCGTCTGTTTTATTATTCTCAAAGGGGCGGTGCAGCACTTTGTCTGAATGCTCAGGGTCGAAGGAATGGAGAAGCTCTGGTTAGGTTTGTAAGTGAGGAGCACAGAGACCTAGCACTACAGAGGCACAAACATCACATGGGGACCCGGTATATCGAGGTATGTCCTCACAACCTGAGACCCTGGATGTCTTGAGTGAGTGTTAACATATGATAGAAGGCGCAGAAACTACGTGATTAACTTTCCTTTCTTTTCTTAGGTTTACAAAGCAACAGGTGAAGATTTTCTTAAAATTGCTGGTGGTGAGTACTTTTTATATAATGTGGTTTTAGTTAATAAGAATCTGAAATTTAGCATGTTTAGATTTAGCAATGGAATATGGAAATAGATTTTTTTTGTTTTTTGGAAATAGGGTCTCTGTTGCCTGGGCTACCATGCAGTGGTGTCATTATTGCTTACTGCAACCTCCAATTCCTGGGCTCAAATGATCCTCCTGCCTCAGCCTCTCAAGTAGCTAGGACTTACAGGCATGCACCATATGACTGGCTAATTTTTTAATTTTTAATTTTTTTTTTATAGAGACAGGGTCTTGCCATGTTGCCCAGGCTGGTCTTGAACTCCTGGCCTCAAGCAATCCTCCCACCTTCAAAGTGCTAGGATTATAGGTGTGAGCCACCATACCCAGCTGGAATATATATATATATATATTTTTTTTTTTAATAGGAAAATATTTCTAATATCAGTGAGCTTAATGTATAACACTTGCCCTAAGGCTTGAGCCAACCTACTATAGTTAAATAGTCATTAAAAATAGTATTATATGAATATGAAAAGGTCATATAAAGTCATATGCAAAGGGAAAGGGTAGTTCTTGAAGGAAATGTTTGAAAACAGCTGCTTTAAAACAGCCACACTTCAACACCTGGGTTTGTTGCATACCCGTTTCTAGCATTTCTCTAAACTGAAGTCATCAGTGGACAGGAACATGGTAGTTTTGGGGTTTATATTTTTGGGCACACAGTATTTGCAGTAATATGGTTAGAAAGGTGGGTGGCGGGAACAAATATGGTCTTTAATCCCATTCTTGAGTGATTTATAGCATTAAAACCTAAAAGTAATAGATGCATAAACTGTTTTACTGTGCTTTGTCTGATTTTTTTCTATACATGTATCTATTTGTAAGTTTCTATTGCTTTGTTCATTTTCTATAACTTCCTTTTAATATATTGTGAACATCTTCCCTTGTTACTGAATTTTCTTCAGTGTTAATTGCTACACAATATTATATGTGCCATAATGTTTTTAAACATCCCTGTTGTGCATTTAGAGCTTATTTCCAACTTTTCGCTTTATGTATGTTGTGAATATTTTTCAGTCTCAGTATGAGCTGCTCATAAGGATAAATCTCTATAAGTAGGGTAGCTGACTCAAAGAACTGCAGACCTTTTTAACAGGTTTTTGACATGGATTGCCAAATTATACTAGGGTGACATGAAGAACATTTGTATACCTGCATTATATAGCCCTGGTGAAAATTTTTACAACTGTAGAACTTTTAGTAGCAGCATCTTGCTAACACAATTTGCTAGTACAATTTTGTTCTGGTTCGTCTTTAAATAAACCCTAAGGCTTAAAAATTCAGGGCTTCAAGTTTAATAGGTTTCCAGAGTTCCAAAGCAGTGTTTGATATTGGTTGGGGATAAATGTATTTGGGGTTGCTTTGCTCTTACCTGGATCCTTGGGTTCTATGAGAGATGTACTGTAAACTGTAGATGGCAAAGTTAGTTAATTTTTATATTGTGGCCTGGAATTTCATTCTATGTGGATAGTGCGATAAGAATTTGCTATTAAGGGAAAATGTTACTAGTACATGAGTTTGAAGAATATGCATATGGCTATTTGCTATATGGCAACATGTCTAAAATGCCTCCTTTTTGTTTAAAAAAAATTTCTTTTTAGAGATGAGGTCATGCTATGCTGCCTAGGCTGGTCTGGAACTCCTGGGTTAATGTAATCCTCCCACCTCAGCCTCCCAAATAGCTGGGATTACAGAGACAAGTTGCCGTGTCCGGCTCAAAATGCTTTATGCTGGGCAGAGAATGTTGATAAACAGTGAAACTGGCTGCCCAGTATATTCATAGTATTATCTCTGCTTGAGTGTGTTTGAATCTTTCTTAATAAAAAGTAATCAGGAAAATGACAAAACCTGAAGTGCTTTGAACCTACTTAATTCTCATAATTTATAAGGCACAGGCAGTTTTACGTACAAAGAAACTAAGGCACAGAGTTGAGCCTGAGAAAGGTCATGCTGTAGTAAACAGTAAAGCCCAAATTGGGCCCAGGCATTCTGTCTCCAAGACCTGTGCCTTTAACTACCATGACGACTTACTACCTCTCCACAGGAAGTGTAAATGATCGGTCCATGATTTAATTGTCTAGCCAGCTTCCTAGATTAAGAGGATGTTTTACAAAAATAAGGGCACCGTTTAATTTGGGAAAAGAGAATTCTAATTCCTAGGATGTTATGAATTCTGTAGGAATTAGGGTCTTAATTATGAATTCAAAACATTGCCAGAAACTTTATTTTAAATTTGGTAAAGTTGATATTGTAACTGTTTGTCTCCATGCTTCCTAATGTTTGTTTTCCCTAGGTACCTCGAATGAGGTAGCCCAGTTTCTGTCTAAGGAAAATCAAGTCATTGTCCGCATGCGGGGGCTCCCTTTCACGGCCACAGCTGAAGAAGTGGTGGCCTTCTTTGGACAGCATTGCCCCATCACCGGGGGGAAGGAAGGCATCCTCTTTGTCACCTACCCTGATGGCAGGCCAACAGGGGATGCTTTTGTACTCTTTGCTTGTGAGGAATATGCACAGAATGCGTTGAGGAAGCATAAGGACTTGCTGGGGAAAAGGTACATTGAACTCTTCAGGAGCACAGCAGCTGAAGTTCAGCAGGTTGGTTTTTAAGAGTATGTTGTTATCTTTGCTTTTATTTCCTTTATCTCTGAAAATAATCCTACGTTATTCATTATGTTAAAATAAAACTTGAAGAATACAGAAAGTATATGAAATAGGCTTCATTCCATAACCAGAAAATAGTCACTGTTATCCTATACACACATAGAAAACATACTATGTTTTTATAAAACTGGAGTAATGCTGTAGCTGTCCTTTTGTATTCTGTTTTAAAACTCCATATCTTGAAAGCTTACCCACCTCTAAAAAATTTCGTATTTAAATTAATATCTCAGTTCCTGTGTTGTGCATTTAGGTTGCTTTTTTCCTACCATAAGAAATTCCTATGTAAACATGCTTATAAACTAGTCGTCAATTTCTGATTAATTTCTGTAGATTTGGAGTGTGATATTTTAAGGCTTTTAATGTCTTGCCAAATTATTATTTTCCAAAAGGCTTGATCAGTTTCATATCCTGCTGGTGACCTCTGTACTGTTTTACTAGCTTTCAGAATTCAGAGGTTTTATTTGGTTGGTTGGTTGGTTGGTTGGTTTTTTTTATAATTTTTTTTTTTGTGTGTGACAGAGTCTCACTCTGTTGCCCAGGCTGGAGTGCTGTGGCGTCAGCCTAGCTCACAGCAACCTCAAACTCCTGGGCTCAAGTGATCTCCTGCCTCAGCCTCCCGAGTAGCTGGAACTATAGGCACAGGCCAACGTGCCCAGCTAATTTTTTCCATTTTTAGTTGTTTGGCTAATTTCTTTCTATTTATAGTAGAGACGGGGTCTCACTCTTGCTCAGGCTGGCCTCGAACTCCTGAGCTCAAGCAATCCACCTGCCTCGGCCTCCCAAGAGTGCTAGGGTTACAGGCGTGAGCCACTGCACCCGGCCTGTTTGTTTGTTTTTTAAAGGCATAAAATGGGGCAATCACTTCCCCAACATGTCCTAAGATCCAGGCATGAAACCACCTATAGAATCTCAAGCCTTTCAACTATTTTTTGACTTACCTGCTGAAACATGTCTTCAGGGGTCAGTGAAGTTTAAATCTGTACCTTGTTGAAAATGTGTGTCATAAATTCTCAATCTCTAAAATATGCTACATGTGCTTGAGGTTTCAAATATTATATCCATTCTTCCCAAACAACAAGAAGAAACACAATGAGACTTTGTTTTAGTTCTTTAACTGGAAGAACAGTGTCATGAAAATCATGGTCTAGATAGACTATCCCAGGGCCTGGGCCTACTGTGCGTTGGTTTGGGAATAGAGGAGGCTGTCTGTGTGTCTAAGGTGGTTTTGGGTGTGCTCTCTCTCCACATCTCCATCTCTACTGATTTAACAAATGTAGCATTCGTAGGCTCATTCACTGTCTTCTCTGCATTACTAATAATCATGTCATTCTATCAGTATTTGAGCACTTCCTATTTGGCAGGTATTATAAGGTGCATGACCCATTTCCTGTCCTGAGTTTTTCTATAACTACATTAATTTTTTTTTTTCTATCCTTGTTTTCCTATTGTTTGTGCTGCATCTGGATTGTTTGCATAATTTAGGTCTTCCTGTCGCTTTGTCATGGCATTTCTTTGGCCGTGCTGTTTGATTTTTGTCACTTCTTACTCAGATAACAGCTGAACAGGGTGTGAATCAGAAAATTAGTGTACATTTTGGGGAAGGGTTCATTGATCCTTCTACGTTTTCAGTTTATGGGATGTTAATGGAGGCATCGGTTAAGCTGCTCAGAAAACCTGGGGGATGCCACAGATGGCATTTGCACAAGGACCTGCCTCCTAGTATTATGAACTAGTTGGCATGCTCTAAACTAAGGCGAAAGTAGACAAGAGCCTTGTAATATGAGTTTTACCTAGGAGCAGTCCTTTGCCCTAAAGTTACCTCACCTGTCACCACCCATTCTCAAGATAGCTGATCCAAGCAGGGCGCGGTGGCTCATGCCTGTAATCCTAGCTCTCTGGGAGGCCGAGGCGGGCGGATTGTTTGAGCTCAGGAGTTCGAGACCAGCCTGAGCAAGAGCGAGACCCCGTCTCTACTAAAAATAGAAAGAAATTAATTGGACAACTAAAAATACATAGAAAAAATTAGCCGGGCATGGTGGCGCATGCCTGTAGTCCCAGCTACTTGGGAGGCTGAGGCAGTAGGATCGCTTGAGCCCAGGAGTCTGAGGTTGCTGTGAGCTAGGATGATGCCACGGCACTCTAGCCCGGGCAACACAGACTCTGTCTCCAAAAAAAAAAAAAAAAACTGATCCATGAATTTAAGATCCTGAAGATCCTCTGTCTTGCCACTGTCTCAAATTCACATGGAAACTAAATTGCTATATTGCTGTTTTTCTTTATGATCATCAAATGATTTTCGTTTTATTTCTACATTATCCAGCCAGTCTTGTGCTGTTATGCAGTATTATATTTTATCATAATCCAAAGTCATTGTTTGGGCTGTGGTTCCTTTACGGGGTCATTCTCTTTCTATTTCTTGGGTTTGGAGATAGAGAATGAAAATAATATCAAGGGGAACACTATGTACTTAATGAAATCTAATAAATTAGTACAAAAGTCCACATTTAGTGATATGTCCAGGTTTTTATGAAAGTGGCAGCCTTTAAGAATACTTGTCTCAAGGTACATAGTGACACATTTCTCCAGGTAGACATATCCTTAACATAAGTGCATTGTGTTGAGTATGTATTTGACAAGAGTAAATATCATGCTTTCGTAGCTGAAATGCATGACTCTCATTCTCTATCACTGCTTCTCAAACTTGGATGTACTTATGAATCACTTGGGGATTTTATTCAAATACAAACTTATATTTACTAGGTCTGGGGTGCAGCTGAGATTCTGCATTTCTAACAGACTTGCCAGGGATGCCATTGCTGGTGTGCAGACAGCATAGGAGAAGCAAGGCTCTAAATCACTTCTGTTTTGCTTTGAGTACAGGTGCTGAATCGATTCTCCTCGGCCCCTCTCATTCCACTTCCAACCCCTCCCATTATTCCAGTACTACCTCAGCAATTCGTGCCCCCTACAAATGTTAGAGACTGTATACGTCTTCGAGGTCTTCCCTATGCGGCCACGATTGAGGACATCTTGGACTTCCTGGGGGAGTTCTCCACCGATATTCGTACTCATGGGGTTCACATGGTATTGAATCACCAGGTAAGAAAGTCCTTGTGGAAAACTTACTTTTCTTATCAAAAGCTCTCTCTTAATAAAAATGTACAAATAGTCCTCAGTCATACAGTAAGTCTTTAGGAAAGATTTAACTGTAAATACAAGAGGTCTTTAGGATGAACTCTGGAACAAATGCCGTCATTAGTATGATAATTCAATTTCAGCTTGGTTCCATCATCATGTATCACATTATCAATAGCATCAGGTAGGAGCCAAATATATTATCAGTCTCTATGCAATTTTTCCTGTTGCAGCTACTGAATTCTGCAACTCTGCCGTCTGTAGTGGGAAAGCAAACATGGATTATACATAAACAAAGAAGCATGCCTGTGTTCCAGAGCATTTTGTGTCCGTAGACTGTTGAGAAATGGCTTATTTCATATATATGTTAGACATCAAATTACATTCAGTGGAATGCAAAAAATTCAATTAGGACTTGTGTCCATACTACCTAGAACAGGATGTGGGTTGTAATAGGCACTCAGACGTATTAATGAATGAATTGCTGAGAAGCCTCTATCAAAATCTAACTGAATTTTTTCAGTATGCAAATGTAAAGTATTCCCTAGTTTGGTGTCACTTGATTTTTGTTTAAATAAAATTAGTCATATTTGCTAGAAAATTTAACAGTATTCTGTGCTATCATAAGCAGGATAAAATTCTAAAAACCCATAAGCCAAAACTTTAAAACTTTGGAATTCTTTAAAAGCAAAGTTGTAATAATTTTTGAAAATAAGACATTTTTTGAGCATTATGGGTTTCATATAGGCTTATATTGGAAATACTAATTTTTTTCCTAAACTTTTAACTTCCCACCTTTTCTTTTCACTTGGAGATTTGGTCACTTTCATAACTGTAATCTTGTCTTACTGGAAAGCACATGACATTAGATAGAATCAAAAAACATTCTGAGCCCTTGCTCTCTATACCAGTTTTCTGTACCAGCACATGCTCATAGCTCATAAGTCAATATTGTTATCTGACCCTCTCCGTGTGCTTCCATGGTAAGAGTCCTTTGAATAAAATTCTCCACAAAACTGTATCACCAGGGAATTGTTCGGTTTCCTTTTTAGTCGCCCTTTCTAATAACCCAGGGCCCATTACTCTTTGATTAACAGCAGTAGACAGATTTGCCTCTCAGTGACCCATGTGACCTGTTGTGATTACATTTGGGAAAAAAATGCTTCTTCGATGATAGATGAGCTCTTAGCTGCCTTGAAGATGTTAGGTTTCCATCTTGGACTGGGTTCATTGCTAATTTCCCTGGTATGGTAACTCTTATGGTAACTTGCATGGTAATAATTTGGACTAAATAGTCCCTAAGAGACTTTTAGAGAAAACCATAAAATAAGAAAGCAGTCCTATACACTGGTTGTCTTTTCCTCCCCCATAAAAGGTTCATGCTCTATAAAACTAAGATGTTCTAGTTCTTCAGAACGGAAATCTATAGGCTTGGTTTCTTAACAGGGCATCTTAGTAAGCTATTACTAATAAAAATGTCTATGAACACCCATTTGACCAAAGTTTAAGGTGGCGCTGCAAGGGAGTGGATAAGAGAAGGGTTCCCAAGCAAGGCTGATGACGCAGCTCTCACCAACCATCACTGTGCCTTGCAGCTCCCAAGTCCCTACTCCCAAGCCACATTCCAACCTAGGCTTCAAGGAAGAGGGAAAAATGAAAGGATTTGGCACATCAGTGACATACTGGAACAGAGAGCTGAAAGAGAATACTGGTTTGTTCTGATTTCTGTAGGAGGATATGTAAAGCTCCAATACTGGTTCTGTTACTAGCCTTTCTGAATCGAATGACATTTAATCAGATTTTTCGGAAGGGAAAAAAACCCAATATACAATCCTATATTTTGCAACTGCAGTCACAAGGAGACTCTTTGAAAACACTGGAAATCTGATACTAATTAACAGAAACCAAAAAGGTTCACATTCAGCTTCGAGCTCCAAAACTGTTCCTTCTAGGTTTTGTGGGCCATTCTGGTGATTAGGCGATGAAATACAAGTCAAGTTTAGTAGATCACACTGTCACCCAGATTTTGTGGCTAAAATGTACTATGGGTGATTGTCACTTTGCATGTTTTGTAAGCAACTATTTCCTTGTTGAAGGAGACAGTCTCCTTTTGTTTTTATTCTTCCCCCACACACTCAGGGCCGCCCTTCAGGAGATGCCTTTATCCAGATGAAGTCTGCGGACAGAGCATTTATGGCTGCACAGAAGTGTCATAAAAAAACCATGAAGGACAGATATGTTGAAGTCTTTCAGTGTTCAGCTGAGGAGATGAACTTTGTGTTAATGGGGGGCACTTTAAATCGAAATGGCTTATCCCCACCGCCATGTAAGTTACCATGTAAGTTTTTCTTGGGTCTTGGCGCTATTCTACGCTATATGCTGGTAGGTGCTTGAGCTGCTTCCGTAACTTTCTGTGCCCCTGGCTCTTTCTGAGGCAGGCGAGGTGGTTACATAAGGCTTTTTCCCATCTGAAATCGGTGGTATCTGGTAATCATTTAAGACCTTGGTTGTGGACACCTATAATTAGTGATGCTACAAATACCTCTTTTCAAATTATATTCTTGCTTTTACAGTGATAAGCACTTGATTTCTGAAGCTTAGTGTGCTCCAGATAAGCACTGACTCTGGGAGGCAACCTGGCTATGTAGATAATCTTTATACGCATTTAAAGGTAAAATAAAAGTATGGCTGGATTTTTTTTCTTTTTTAAAAACACATAAAGTTTTAAGAAGAGTGATTTGATGCAAATTTTGTGTTTAACTTTTTGAGCATCAAGTATTTTTTGAAAATGATAACCTGGAGAGCATTTCTATTGCTTGCCAGGATATTTGGAATGAGCAAGTTAGAAAAAAATATAAAAAATGCGTAAATGAATTAGCCAAAGTTTTCATTCCATCACAGGATCAGTGCTTAATTTCAAGCCATGCTCTTGCTCATTGGCATCTGGGTACAAGCCATCTGGAATCCTGTTTGAGAGGAATAAGCCCTGTAGTCTAAAGACCAAGTTCTAGTTAGTGACTAAGAAATATTTGGGAATCTAATATTAATACTTGAATCTTTTTTTTTTTTTTTTTACACAGTTTTTACTTTTTAATAAGACATACCTTGTTAGGCCTGTTGGGTATGCTTAAAGAATGTAGTACTTGGAATGCAGTTCAAAGATAGCTAAGAAAGTAAACTGGATTTATCTTCTTGATTCCAACAAAGTGGGGAGATTATGGACATCACTTTCTAGTAAAGAGGGGTTTACTGGGAGGCCAAGGCAGTAGCATCGCTTGAGCTCAGGGATTCGAGACCAGCCTTGAGCAAGAGCAAGACCCTGTCTCTACTGAAAAAAGAGAAAAATTAGCCGGGCGAAGTGGTGTGTGCCTAGAATCCCAGCTACTCTAGCCTGGGCGATGGAGTGAGATTCTGTATCAGAAAAACAAAAAAAAGGGGGGTCTATACCAGTAATCCTGTTTGATAAAGTATTATTTGCGGAATATTTGGTGGGGCTTAATCCTTTTTTTCCTTTGGAGTTTCTAAACACTAATATTCCATTTACCTGCTGCTTGCTGTTGGCAATTATCTTAGAGTTGATCATTAATGAGTATCAAAGTTTGAAAATTTATAATTGAGTTAAGAAAGTATCCTAAAGCAGTCCTAGTTGTATGTCTTCTGTCCATAAACCAGTGATAATGTCAGTAGCTTTTGTGATATCCTTTAGTGATAATCTGTCGTGCATTGTCAGGTAAAGGAATTTCTCCATCATGCGTGACCCAAATTCTTCTTTTGTGATATTGTACTTACCTCTTCCTGGTGGAAAACTGGTCATTATAGACTTTCTTCATCAGACTTTAATTTTTTCCCTCCTCCCTGACTCTCATAGCCCTAAAATAAACAAAACTTAAAAAAATGCATGTTTCACATAAAATATTTCTGTAGGGTAGAAGGGGGAGTGAGGGATGAGAAATTACTTCCTGGGTACAATGTACATTTTTTGGTGATGGTTTCACTAAGAGCCCAGATTTCACCACTACACAGTATACCCATGTAACAAAACTGCATTTGTATCCCTTAAATTTATTTAAAAATATATATATTTCTGTACTTTTGGTTACCTTTAATACTTACCAAAAATGAGAACAAAAGTCTTAACCAAAATTTGGCTGTTTGCCTTTTTAGTGATAGAGTTTTCTTTTTTAAACAATCAGAATTCCAATTTAGTCTGTGGCCACACCAACCTGAAAGGCGCTTGATCTCATCTGATCTCGGAAGCTAAGTAGGGTCAGGCCTGGTTAGTACTTGGATGGGAAAATTCCAATTTATACATACTAATATTATGCCTGTTGTACTGGACCTTTTTTCCCTGCCAACACAGTTTAGATAATTGACTAATTATACAGAAACCACAAAATTTAGAGAAATTGCATATGTTTTTGATCTAATCTCAAGGATTAAAGCAATCAAAATAGTAATTGATTATCATCCCCCACTGAAGAATGTCCTGTCGAATTTGACAAAGAAATGTTGCTAGAGTCTCATTGACATTTTGATGTTTGTCATCCTAATTTATTATAAAGGAACATTTTAAGATCAACTTCATTTTTGTAATCTGTGCGTATTATACATCTGATTCTCTTTTAGGAATATAAAATAGCTATTCTTTCAGCTGAGGGATGCCCAAAGCTTAGCAGCCTAATTTGTTTGGTTATCAGAAATTCCTACCTGTCTTTGTTTTGAAGCAGAGCAGACATATACCTACTATATATATTTGTCTGATTGGTATGAGGCACTGTTAAATAATGAATTGCCTCATAGTTTTGAAAAGAGATTATGAGCACAGACCATATAACTTTCTGTAAGACTTAAGTGCCTCAATTTTTATTGTTGGCCTTTCTGTGGGCTCTTTTTTTTTAAATACTATGTTACCTGTTTCACATCTGTGGACTCTTTAAGGCCAGGGATCATAATTTAAAAGTATTTAGGTATCTAACATCTAGCATAGTTTTTGGTGATAGGAAGAGGCACCCAAAGTTGAATGTGAGATCCATTTGTTGGTCTTTGGTTTATGTACCCATATTCACCTGGCTGTCTTATACGTCTCTGTAGAAATGTAGAAACTCCTAAGAACAAAAGACAATTTGAAGTCATCTTGGAAATTTTCACGTGAACAAGTTATCCTTTGGGCCTTTGCTATTTGTAAAATATGGTGGTTCTAGGTATGAAGCGTATAAGGTAGGGACTCCAAATTTGGTCAACTTTTTCTATTGAGTGCAGATGGCCTGGTGGGTAGTTGTGTTTGTCTCACATGTGAAAGCTAATGAATAGCAACTGGTCTGAGTTTTCAATCCTAGAATATGTTGGTTTACCAGAAGACAGAGGAATCTGGGCTCATTTTCTGTTTAATCTGAGCCAGCTTTTTATCAGCTGACTCTCAGGAAGACTTGAGCATCAATTTCTTCAGGGCTATTTCCCAGGTTGGATTTTTTTTTTTTTTTTTAAATAGGTCTGAAGATATAGCTTAGCTTCAAAGCCCATCTTCTCCTTTAGGTGGGAATAACGCAAAGTAGACTACTCCTTTTAGGTCAGTTCACTCTGGCACAGCCTGTGCTTTGGCGTAATGCACGGTACTGGTGAAGAGTGTTTTATCGTAACATGTTCCATTTTATGCTATACTGAAAGGTGGATAGCAAGATGCAGCAGCAGCATGACTCTCCAAGTTTAAAAAATCTAGGCTTTAATATGAAGTTACACTAAATGTCAGTTCCATGGTTCTTTCCTCTAAAGGTTGGTTTGTGGAAACTGGCACCTGGAGTGTGAAAAAAAAAAAATCACTTTGTGAAATGATTGAGAAGACTTGAAAATCCACTTGATGTCCAACCCCGCACCCTGGCAAATTTGAGGCTAAAAATCGTTCTTTAGGCTGATGGTGTGGCATTCGGGATCACTTCTATGTGTTATCTATGTAATGAAAAGGAAGTTGGGATGATAGGAAGAACTGTGATGGTCTCTTTAAAATGTGTAGATGGAATAGAGACTTTATGGCTTTAGCACTAGCACATGTGTCAGCTGTTACAAGCACATCTCAAGAGACTCTCTCCTTTGCTTATTTAGGTCTGTCTCCTCCCTCCTACACGTTTCCAGCTCCTGCAGCAGTTATTCCTACCGAAGCTGCCATTTATCAGCCCTCTGTGCTTTTGAATCCACGAGCACTGCAGCCCTCTACAGCATACTACCCAGCGGGCACCCAGCTCTTCATGAACTACACGGCCTACTATCCCAGGTAAGGCTCTGAGGGAAGTGGAAACGAGGGACAGAAACAAAGGACTCCTTGATAGCCAGTGCCCGAGCTCACAAAAGAATATTGTCTGCCACGTTGAAGATTAGCACAGCAAGCAACAGCTTCTGGTCATATCTCAGACCAAGAAGGTCGTTCCAAGACAAACCAAAAGAAGTTTATTTTTTAACTATATATTGACAGTGTGATCTTTTAGGTCACCTATATGTACAACTTTACTTTTTTATTCCTCCTATCGTAGGACGACCATAACTGAGTAGCTCTGTAATCACTGCGATAGGGTGGCAATATCATGCAAATGAGCCACAAATCAGGAAAATCCATAATGGGAACAATTATTAATATATTTGGGGGAGCCAGGGATGTTGTCTTTATTTGTAATGATAAAGCTTTGATTGGCCTGAAGGAAACAATTGTTTTAAGTAGCATGAATTCATATTTTGCTTTAAATTTTGCAGGGCTTGTACTCTTTTCCCCCTAAATCTTTACTATGAACAAATCTGAAATTAGATTATTGAGTATTTTCTTAGAGTCAATATATTTTAAGTCTTTGATTCTTTTTAGTTGTTTTCAATTTCTGGGAAGTAGTAGGTTATAATGGAGAGAAGGTCAGTCTGGGAGTTGGGAGTCCTGAGTTTTAGTCTTACCTTTTCTAACTGGGGTGAGTCGCTTGGTTAACACTTCTGGATCTTATAAAATGGGATTGAACAAGTTTTTATAGTCCCTATCAGGTCTGATTGCCTGTGATTCTCACTTGGATATATAATGAATAATGATTCTTTTTTTTTTTTTACCCCACATTAGAGAAGCTGGACAAATGAATAATCTTTCTTTCATATTTTTTATTTTTCCAAAAAAATATTTTTTTCTTTGAGACAGAGTCTCACTCTGTTGCCGGGGCTGGAGTGCCATGGCGTCAGCCTAGCTCACAGCAAGCTCAGACTCCTGAGCTCAAGCAATCCTCCTGCCTCAGCCTCCTGAGTAGCTGGGACTACAGGCATGTGCCAACACACCCGGCTAATTTTTTCTATTTTTAGTAGAGACGGGGTCTCACTCTTGCTCAGGCTGTTGAACTCTTGACCTCAATCAATCCTCCCTACCTTGGCCTCCCAGAGTGCTAGGATTATAGGCGTGAGCCACCATGCCCAGCCAGACTTTGATTTTTCTTCCCTAGCTATTTAGACTAAATGTTTTGAGTACGTACACTAATATGTGAGGCTTTTGATAAGTGGCCTGGAGCATATCCCTGTAGTAGCTCTGTTGCATTGTATTTTTCTCCCCCTGCCTCCCAACATTGAGTTTTGTAGTAGAGAACAAGACCTTTGATGTTTCCTAGTAGCAGTGAAGTTTATAGCCACTTTTAATTGCATTTGTTAATTTTGTTAGGAGCTTTTAAAACATTAATGCTATTGAAAATATTCTTTATTCTACTGGGGAAGAAGAATAGGGAGAAAGTGGTGAGAGTTGTCAGCTAGCTATCTTTTGAAGGCTTGAAAAGGTTCAGAAGCATGAGTAACCGTTCATGGTTGAGCACTATGCCAGGCACCTAGTCCAACCCCAGTGTGCCACCTTCTCTGGGACCCTGTGACAATCACTTGCTGCTGGTGGGCTCTGGTTATAGGAATTTCTTTGTCTACCTTTCTTACATCCTCAGAATGTCAGGAGCGGAATGCATTGTGCCTCTGAATGCCTGGTACAGCTTTTGTGCCTACAGTACCTACTTGCTGAGCTTTCAGTTCCATCACTGACTTGCCGTACGAGCACTGTTACAGGAAGGAATCTCTTAGAAACGAGACCATAAATCTTGAATTGAAGCCCCAAAGGCAGTAGGATCTGATATTTGTGACTTAATAGGTCCTATAATTTAGGGTAACTGCCTGTAGATTAATCTTATTCTACTAATAGTTTTAAAGTTTGTAATGTGCTCATTATTAATTTTAGGAGTATAGTGAGTAAACATAAAGACTCCCATTTACACACCTCCAAGTCCAGAAGTAGCCATTATCATCAGTTTGGTTATATAAACATGTCTGTACTTCTAAATAACGTGGCATACTTAACATGTACTGTCCATTTGTTCCTTTATTTTTTTGTTTTTTCAGGTTGACAGTGTGTCATTGAGTTCTTTCCTAGGATATATTTACATAAATACCTCATTCTTGTAACTCCCTTGTGATGTCCCATGTTTAAAAATAACATCATAATTTAACAGTTTTTTATTTTTAGACATCTACACTTTAAATTTTTCTCTATTAAAAAAGCTTATGCTGGCTGGGCTCGATGGCCCACACTTGTAATCCTAGCACTCTGGGAGGCTGAAGCGGGAGGATTGCTCAAGGTCAGGAGGTCGAGACCAGCCTGAGCAAGAGCGAGACCCTGTCTCTACTAAAAACAGAAAGAAATTAGCTGGACAACTAAAAATATATAGAAAAATTTAGCTGGGTATGGTGGCACATGCCTGTAGTCTTAGCTACTCGGGAGGCTGAGGCAGAAGGATCGCTTCAGCCCAGGAGTTCGAGGTTGCTGTGAGCTAGGCTGATGCCACAGCAGCAGAGTGACACCCTGTCTCAAAAAAAAAAAAAAAAAAAAAAACCTTATGTTGCTCTTTAAACACTTGTTTATATTTCTGTCAGACATTGTTATAGAAGTAGAAGTTTTAAAGTGAAGGTCATATGCAATGTGTGTGTGTGTATATTTATATATATTTAGAAATAAGGTCTTGCTGTGGTACCCAGGTTGGACTTGAACTCCTGGGCTCAAGTGGTCCTCTTTCCTCAGCCTTCCTGAGTAGCTGGGACTACAGGGAAGAGCCACTGCACCTGGCTCATGTGCATTATACTTAAGCTAATACTTCAAAATTAACCCCTAGTGTGTTTAATTATTTTAATTTACATTTCCCTAATTCCAGCAAAGTTATACAAACACGTGAAATTATTCAAACATCGGGATTATATATGCTTTATTCATACTGCATATTCTGGACTAATTTAAAGAGCAAATTCCAAACATAAAATATTTTACAATTTTGGCAGAACAACATTAATTTCTAACCTGACGTGACTATAGGGTACTTGAGGTTATCGAAAAACTTTTTAATGTAAATGTTCAAGTATATTTTGGCTTATTCTCTGATAATTAGGAAATCTGAAACAGCATACTCTAGGGATATTAATTAGAACCTCTGGAGTTTGTCTTTGTTTTTAAATTTAAAAATTTTAAATTCTTTAAGAAAAAATGAAATACCAGTTTGACTTTAGATTAATTCAATGGGTACACTACTTTAAAACATTAGGTTGCTAATGTATTTTGCAGATTTCTAAAAGAATGCCCTTTTAAAACAGTGGTTATTTTAAACTTTTTAATTATGTTAACTCTTTTTAACTTTCATTTTAACTGAGCAAACTAATTAAGCATCTTCTCTGTGTGGTGTACTAGCAATATTATGATTAATAAAACACGGACTTTATCTGGTATATAGTAGCTGACAGAACTTGTGCGTAGGCACAGTCAGTGACTTTGAGGACTCCGTGAGCTAGAGGGCCCTTGTCTCTGTTTTATCTCCTCTATGTTTGAAATTTTGGAGATAGAGTGCAGTGGCATGCTCCTGTAGTCCCAGCTACTCAGGAGACTGAGGTGGGGGGGTCATTTGAGCCCAGGAGTTGAAGGCCAGCCTGGGCAACATAGCAAAGCTTTGTCTTTATTAAAAAAAATTTTTTTTTGATATAAACTTTATAGTCTTATTGCTCTGAGAATATAGTGTCTTTTTCATAAGGATTTGGATTACTTGAGGAATATTTAAAGAGAAAACACAAACCAAAGAATTGCTTTTCATTTTCCTGTTAAATGAATTTTTAGCAGTCTAAATATGTAGCTGTTGCAATAACCAAGATGCTGATCTTGAAGAGCAAGTGTGCTTGGAGGCACGTGTGTGTCACGTGGTTTTGTTTTCTCCTTAGGGAATTTTTCTCCCTTCCCCTCTCTTGGATGAGAAATGTGCTGTTCTTCAAACGTGGAATAATGTAAATGTATGTGTTGTCTTGCCTTTTGCAGGACACCAATTAATAACAAGTAACATCTTGAGCCAACAAAGGGAGTAAGAGAAGACTGACTTTTTCTCATGAGTATTGTTTTATTTGCATGCTCATGTGAAACATTAACGGTGGGGAAAAACTGTTTTCTTTCTTGGAATAATAATTTCTTGTAAAGTCAGCTTGTTTTTCCCTAAGCAATGAATATGTAGTTTGTAATACTGATGCATTTTTTAATGTTTGGTTTGTTGTATAGTGTTTGCGTTCTATTCTGAAATTCTTTGCAATTGAACCAAAAGAATATCAAGCCTCTGCGAGGTGACTGCATTTCCTGTTTTTAACTGACTCTTCTTGTTCCAGATTACTGTTTTAATTGAAATTTTTATTGAGATAAGTATAGGTTCACATGCAGTTGTAATGAACAGTACAGAGAGATCCCACGTACACTCTGCCTAGTCTATCCCAATGGTAACATTTGACAACCAGTTTACTTTCTAATTTGCTTGTTGAAGGTTTTCTGATAGGACCATGAAGAGAATTCTTTTTTTTTTTTTGAGACAAAGTCTCACTCTTTTGCCCGGGCTAGAGTGAGTGCCGTGGCGTCAGCCTAGCTCACAGCAACCTCAAACTCCTGGGCTCAAGCGATCCTCCTGCCTCAGCCTCCCGAGTAGCTGGGACTACAGGCATGCGCCACCATGCCCGGCTAATGTTTTCTATATATTTTTAGTTGTTCAGATAATTTTTTCTATTTTTTTTTTTTTTTTGCTCTTGCTCAGGCTGGTCTCAAACTCCTGAGCTCAAACAATCCGCCTGCCTCGGCCTCCCAGAGAGCTAGGATTACAGGCGTGAGCCACCGCGCCCGGCCGAGAATTCTTGATTAAGACAAATTTTTTGATCTTAAATATTTAGTGCCACAAATATAAATGAGAATTTAGAATACAGTGAAATGACACTAGA